GGCTCCTGGCGTACGTGCTGAGCTGGGATTTTACTCCTGGTTAAGAAGCTGCTGCAGCTTCTCTCTTTAAATCGGGTGGGTGGAATTAACCCCACGATGTTGACTCCCCGGCTCAACCCTCCGAAGGAGGACTGTCCTGCCGGAAGATGCTCCGTATGCGGCTCGCTCTCAAGACCACAACGGAGTCCAAAATTTTTGTTGCTAAACAAAACACTTGCTTTGTCCCATCTTGCGACCTTTCTTGCCAGAGCTGTTAAGTGAATCGCTGCAGCTGTTAAGTGAGTCACGCGGTTGTTAAGCGAATCTGGCTTTCCCATTGACTTTGCTTGTCAAAAGGTCGCAACAGGGGATCGCGTGACCCAGGGATGTTGCAATCGTCATAATATGAGTCAGGAGGATGCGGCAATGGCCCCAAGTGGGACTTTCCACTTTTTCCTGTGCCGTTGCAACTTCAAATAGTGACGGAAGGAAGAGTTGCGAGGAGGATCCGTCTGTTCAGAAGGTCTGCCTGATGCCAGTGGGTGTGCGGACAGTTTTAAGGGGGAAGCAGGACTCTCTCTTTGCACACCTGTCTTGTCCTGGTTTAGGAAGATCTCTACCCTCACCACGTAGGCGTCCTGGGTCAACCAACCGTGGTGGAGGCCTTCAGCCACCTGGTTGCACAATCATAGCGTCTTCCTTGGGGCTGGGATCTGCCCCCCCCCTTCACAAGCACCCCAGGAGAATGATTAACTCCCTTTGCTTAGCTTCTCCTCCGCTTCATGGTGGCTCAGAGCAAGCAGGGCCAGGGTGGCTGATGCTAGGGATCGACTCCTGGGTTTCAGCCTCTCCTCCAAGGTGCTGCTGTGTAGCAGCATAACGTAGGTGGAAGGGGACCTTGGAGGTCTTCTAGACCAGCCCCCTGCTCAAGCAGGAAAATCTATTGCCATTCCAGACAAAGGGCTGTCCGATCTGACGGAGCCCCCACTTCTGAAGGCGAGTTGTTCCACTGATTAATCCACAGAATTGGAAGGGACCTGGGAGGTCTCCTAATCCAACCTCTTGCTCAAGCACCAGATCCTTCATCAAGGGTGTCCAACCTGGGAATTTTACGCTATGCTGGCTGGGGAATTCTGGGAGCCGAAGTCCACAAATCTTAAAGTTCCCAGGTTGGACACCCTTATCCTACACCATACGGCTGTCCAGCCTCTGCTTGAAGACTTCCAGTGGATAATGCTGAGTTCTCTCCTGGATGTGCCCACAAGAAGCCTTTGCCCGCTCGGGGGCCCCTCCGTCTGACCCCTAGAGACAGCTGTTCCTCCGGGGGGGCATGAAAGGGTCTCCCAAAGGCAGGCTCTCTTTTTCCAGCAGCTGACCTGCTGGGGGAAGTGAACCCCCTCCTTCTTCTTCTTCAAAAGAGAAATGGTTTTGAGGATCGATTGGGTTTTTCCCCGATTTGGAAAAGGGGAGGAAAATCCTTCGTCTCTTCCTTCCTCCGGCATCGTATCTCCACCCAGAATCCATGGCTTTTGCCCCTAATTGCCATTCTTCCTTGCACAAGGGCCCGCCCCTTCCCAGTATGCTCACTGGGACCCTGAACCCCATGCTGCTCTCTTCTCAACGCCCATGGGGCTTTACGGAACAGAAAAAGAATTCGTACGACAACACCCTTGGCTGGCTGTGGGCCATGGAAGCTGGAGGAAGCTGATGGAGAGCACATTGATAAAATAACAGAGCTGGGAGGGACCTTGGAGGTCTTCTAGTCCAACCCTCTGCTCGAGCAGGAGACCCTCTACCATTCCAGACAAACGCCTGTCCAGCCTCTTCTTAAGAGGCTCCAGTGTTGGAGCAGCCATTTCTGGAGGCAAATTGTCCCACTGGTGAATTGTTTTAACTTTCAGAAAATGTCTCCTTAGTTCTAGGTCGCTTCTGTCCTTGATTAGTTTCCATCCGTCACTTCTTGTGGGATCTGTCTTTTTCCCAAGAAACCCCCCCCCCCTCTGTTTTCACTTTGGTGGAGATTTAACTTCTCTGCCAGAGTCTCGTCAAAGTGCATTAAAGCAGTGGTCTCCAACCTTGGCAACTTTAAGACCTGTGGACTTCAACTCCCAGAGTTCCTCAGCCAGCTTTGCTGGCTGAGGAACTCTGGGAGTTG